AGGGCGCGATGTGCCGCGTACCAGCGGTGCACCACGTCGTACGGCACCGTGTTGATCACTGCCCGGTCGTAGTTGTTGTACCTGGGGGTGGGGGAGAGGAGGTCAGAGACCACCCAGCAGGGCTCCACAGCCAGCAGTTCCCAAAAGGAACCTCGGGAGCCTGCAGGGTTAGTTTGGTGCTTAAGGGAGGCTACAGAGATGAGCGGGGAGGTGGCGCTGCCAGGGCAGGATGCTCAGAACCCAGAAGGCTGGGAGAGAGGAGTTTACACAGCCAGGGCAAAACTCTTCTGGCTGGTTGTCCCTGGAAGGGTGTGAAACAGCAAGAGGCAAGACTGAGGGCTGCTCAGAATAACAGTGTGAAGCCAGGCTGGAGCTTCCAAAACCACCCAAATAGCCCTTGGAAGGGGACCAGCCTGTGCTCTGTCCATATGCAGGTGGGTTTCTAGAGGCTCTGCCACAGCAGGGCTGAATTCTCCTGCCTCTCCAACCAGGAGAGTGCCGAGCTGAAGGGTGACAGGGGTGAAAAAACCAAAGCCTGGCACTGACACTCCCTCTGCACTGGTGGCTCTGTCACTTCCTCTAAAGCAGCAATGCCCAGGCCAGGAGATACAGGGGGGCTCTGTGGTCTCACCCCTGCCCCTCAAACATGCATTGTTTTTTAGGTCATGGTACTTTCTGGAAACCCACCACCACCTGCCACCATCCCCTCTCCTCCCCATGAGCAAGAGGCCCCATGTTGACATTACCTGATGAGATAGAGCTCGTTGTTCCAGGGGTAGACGTTGAGGACGGGCCCGACGCCGATCATGTGGTTGTGGCAGCCTCCCACGTTCTCAACGTACTCGTGCTTCAGGGGCACCTTGGTGAGCAGCTCAAACTGCTCGGGGGCTCGCTGCAGAACCTGCTCTGCTGCATAGAAACCATCCACCAGCAGTGTCCTCCCACCCGTGCCCTCGTGCTTCAGGCAGTGGAACACCTGGATGCTGTGAGGGGGAAGAGAAGAGGGCACAAGAGAAAAGATCTTGGCTGCTTGTCCAGTGGAGAAGGTGCTCCCCACAGACCTGGACAGACACAGATGGATGCACCACCCTTCCCTAGTGGTTGTGACACTTATTTGTAATTCAACTGATCTTGCTAAGACCTGCCATGGAATGGGGACAGACCAGACAGTATCAGCTGGTTCCTCATCCCCATCTCACACGTTTTGCTTTCCAAGAAGAGGGCAAATGCCTCCACTGCCTCCCAAACCAAGGGACACCAGCCTGGGCACATGGCAGAGGATCAGGCCTGTGTGGCACAAAGCCCATCCAGGCAGTAGGATGAGAGGTTCACAAGCATGAAGCCAAGCTTCCTAGAAGAGCTCAGAACAAGGGAGCCATGAAAGAATGCTGAGGTCTCCAGGAACCACAAGGGGAGCCCAGGGTGACCCTCACATCCTGCTCTCCCACAGGCAGGAGTCCCTCAAGGTAACACTTCAAGGACTCTTTGGAAAGCCTGCAGCAGAGGAGTCCTGGGTGAGAAGGTCACCTACAGGGACACCCCCTTCCCCAGTGGGAAGCCATTTAGCTCAACTCTTGTCCTTCTAGCACTTCTCTGAGGCTTCTCTCCTCCTTCATCTAAGCAAGGCAAGTGTTGTACTGTTAGGAACAAACACCCAGGAGCTGCCACAACTCACCTACTCCAAATTTTCAGTGTACAAACTCCACTCCTCAGAAGATCTGTTGTGACCTTATGGGAAAGTCTTTTGCCTTTCAATTCCATTTGGGGTGTTTTAACCCACAGAAAGTGTGGCAGGATGTGGTGACGTGGCAGGACCTCCCAGCTCCACCCTTGCTTTTTCACCTGGGTGCTCCAACCACCTTGACACTCCACAGCAGTTCTGGGGTAATTTTACCCATCCACAAGCACTGGAGCAAAAGACACTCTGTACCTCAAAGGCAACAACCTCCTCCTGCAGCTTGGGGTGCTGAGTAGCCTGTTCTGAGGGCAGGCTCTGTGGTACACAGGGAAGGTGTCAGACCTTCCCACAGCTCCAGGAGTTTCTATCCTCTAGCCCTTGCAATAATTTAACTCAAGACTTGCCAGATTTGGCTGACTTCAGGGGGGAAACAGACATTCAAACGAACACATCTTTCTTGAAGAACAGCTCATTTCCTTCAGAAACAAGGTCAAAAGGCTGCTCCACCTGGTCCTGGGTGGGGGAGGAGGGCTTGCCCCAGAGCAGCAGGATTCAACTTCTGCAGCACCTTTCTACAACAGCTGATAAGGGCCACTGGCTGCAGCAGGAGCTGAGCCTTGCCAGATGGACACACAAGACAAACCAACTGCTCATTTCTGTGAGGCTGCCTGTCTGTCACTGTGAGGACTGAGGAGAGTGACACCCAACAGCCAGGTCCCTCACTGCCCACATTCTGACAGACCTGCAAGTTTCAAGGCTAGGAAAATAAAAACACCCATGTACAGACTACACTGCTCCACAGGGACCAGCCTGACCCCAGAAGGGATGTGTGACTAGAAGCAGCAGCAGCAGCACTGGAGACAAGGAAGCCCAACAGCATCACCGTGACTCGCTGCTGCCTCCTGCCTGGCAGTGCTGGGCCCAGCTCACCCGCAGGGCTCCTGGAAGTAGGTGGTGTCCGTGTGCCGGTCCAGGGCCAGCTTGGTGTAGGCTGTGTCCCCCCGGGAGAAGTCAGAGGTGAAGTACCACATGCGGCCATAAATGGTCTCCCTGGAAGAGAGGAGGGAAGCTATGGCAGAGGGCTGCAGGGGCAGGGGTGGGAGACAGATCCACTCCTGCCTTTGAGGTTGCTCCCCTCCATCCCATGTAAATTAGAACAACTAACCAAGATTCTCATGGTCAAAAGATGGTGCCCCTACTACCTCCTCCAGTTTCTCCCTTTCCTCCACAAAAGGCTGACAACAATCAGTCTTGCTTTCCCCCCCACAAATACAGATACCCTTTTTATACCAAATACCAGCCCCAGTCAAACCAAGGAAGCCACACCAAGTGACAGGAGGGGTTGCCAGAGTGCAGCTTGTCCCTGCTTGTAACCACCACGGGGTTACCTAAAAATCCCTTTTCTTACACTTGGGATTCTTTGTTTTCACCCTCACTGCCCCCCAACATGCATGACAGAAGGCAAGGACAGACAGTGCTCAGGGGCTACAAGGAGAGGGTATCTGGAGGGGAAGCAAAGGTGACTGGCTATTCCTTGGAGTCCCTCATTCCTATCTGGAATGACTACCCATGAAAAGAAATCCCTCCTTTTCCAATGACCCAAGGCAGGTTAAACTGTTCCTGCAGTTTGGATAAAGCTGAAGCTCAAAGCCAGGCTTGCCAGGCTGTTGGTGTCTTTTGAACAAACACCAAAGAAACATTTCTCAACATTTTTCTTTACACAGAGCTACAAACTGTTTTTGATCTCGCTGGCTCCCAGGGCCAGGGCTGCCCTCCTAACCTCCCAAGTCATAACAGGAAATGTCTCTCCTTGCAAAGCTCAAGTCTTCCCAGACAGGCTCCTTCCTCCAGTCCCTCCTCTCAGTGCAGTCCCACTGTCACTGAAGTAATCATGTGCTCCAGAGGCAGCTCCATAACCTACTGGCTCCAGGCTCTCCCCTGGAGGTGGGATTCCATAGTGCCACACTCCATCCTGGCTCAAGCAGAGTGGCCAGAGGCTGCAGAAGACCCAGACCTTTTGTTTGCAAACCAGGACCCACTCCCCAGTATGGAGGGAGAAGAGAGCAGCACCTTTCCAAACAAAAATAAACCAACAGTCTGCTCTTCCTGGCTTTTCTGCAAAGCCACCAGTTACCTGATAAGGCTGATCCTTTCTGCCAGGATTTCAGTGTCCTCTTTGGTGGGAGAGACATTCTCCACAAAAGCAATCCCATACAGCAGGAAGTTCTGCAGGAATTCCTTCAGCCCCTCGTCTGTCTCCAGGAAACTCCGGCAGTCGACGGAGGGGACCTGGGCCTGGTGGTAGATGTCAGCATTCCAGAGGATCCGTGGCTGCATCACCTGCTGCTTCTGCCCCTCGTAGCTGTTCTTCACCAGCCACTCCAGCCCATAGCGCGTCACGTGCCCGTCTGGCCCTTCCCCAGGAGAGGAGTCCCAGTCACCACCGTGGCCTTGAGAGCACAGCCAGCCCTCCAGGACACCCCCCCACCCTGCTCATTTTGCCTGGTGACCGACCCTTTATGCCCTGATGCCACCCAAAATATCACCTGGTTAAGGCTAAAAGGTGTTGTCTTTGCTGCCACAGCTCCAGAGTCAGAGCCAAGTGGTTCAGCTTCCCTGGGTTTGTTTCCTACTGACTCCACCTGAACATAAAGGTGAGCTACAACCCAGGGAAGAAAGCAGCTGGGAAGCTGAGGAGAAAGGACAGAACATGTGAATTCTGACCAAACAGGACAGGGTAAGGAAAAGAAACCCAACCATTTCCTGACCCATCTCTTCCCTGCCTGCACTGCTGCTGTGTTCAAACAGACCAACAAAACACTCAGGCACTGAAGTGATGGTGCTGCCCAGAAAGGGCTGGAAAAACAGACACTAATTTGGAATAGTCTCCCAAGGGAAGTGGTAGATTCCCCCACATGGGACAGTGTTAAGTCTCAGCTTGACAGGGCACTGAGCCATCTGATACAAACTATAGCAGTACCTAGAAAGGCTGGACCAGGCGATCCTTGACAACCTGACACTCTATGATTAATTTAAGGCCTGTTCACAGCCCTGCAGTGTTTAAACCCTGTTTACAGCCAAGTCTCTCCCCCAAAGCAGCCCCTGATTTAGAGAGAAGCCCACCCTCTCCAGCAAACCTCCGGGCAGGCCCCCTGAGAAGCTGAGCTCCCCCCCCAAGCAGGGAAAATGCCTGGGCTGCTTACAGG